CTGACAAACGAGCTTTGCAGCGCGTCGCTTTCATCCTAGACCAGGATTTTTATTTAGTGAGAAAAAAACTCTCTGTCGGGACTCGAGNTCTGGCACTATTGAGAGCTCCGCCTGTGTGCAGAGATTTTACCGGCACTATACCGGGCATCTGGCACTATTCAACCGGCACTAAAAGGGTCCCTCGACTGTACTGACAAACGAGCTTTGCAGCGCGTCGCTTTCATCCTAGACCAGGATTTTTATTTAGTGAGAAAAAAACTCTCTGTCGGGACTCGAGCCCAAGACCTGGCCCTTAGCAGGCTGCGAGGCTACCCACTAGACCACCGGGGCGACCGGTGCAATATATATCGTGCTGAAAGCAAGAATCAGCGGAAACCGTAGGTTGCACAAGATACTTCATCCCCTTGACCATGTCTCAACCTATGTTGTTCCACGACGAAGACGATTCCGAAAATCAAACGATACATTTTCGAACAGCTCTCGACGAGACAGTTCCATTGCCGCCATATCCGGCCTCGCCACTCCTTCTGTTGTGGAATAATCAGGCTCTGGAACTCGGTCCAGGGGGCGTTGTATCTCAGTGCTGTGAGATCAGTGGATTCGATTCTCCTCTGCGCCAGTAGAGTAGTTTTCTTCCCACCACCCTTTTTTGCTCTTTCTTTTCCCTCTGGAAATTCGTTGTACCCCTTTCAAAGCATGGTTGACCGTAATATATAAAATACCGAGTAAATCCCTGAGAAACAAGGCGTGTCAGAGAACGGAAAGTTTTTCTTTCCATGTAAAGACAACAACTACACCCGGTCGCAGCGGGTCGCCCCATGCCGCGCCACTGATGCGACATGAAGAGGGCACCAGTAGTATGCATAGCTGAGCGGAGNGCCGCCGCCGCTGCTGCTGAAAAAACAGCAGCAGCAGCAGCAGCGGCGGCGGCGGCGGCAGCGAGGTTGAGCCTGGCTCTCTTCCACAATTTTCTTACTTTTGACCAACTCCCCCTTCGTTTCCTCCAGCATTCTCTCTACGACGGTGAGGCTGCCGCGTTCGATAGCGCGCCGCGTGTTATCTTCTGCTGACGCGGCAACCATACACTGCCCCGTCCTCTCTTCAAACTTCGTTTTGTTTTGATTCAGCTTTCGCGCAGCGCGCCTCCTGCTGCCGAACGGCGCTGCAGCCGCACTGGAGGGGCCGTTTTGAGACAAGTAGATCTCGTGGTTGGCTGATGCGATTCGGATGCGGTTTGTTGTGTGGTATAGCTGTAAACCCAAGGTAGAGGGCTGCAAGTTTTCCTTGGGCATGGAGCAAAGAGCCCAAAGAACCATGGTTTTTTTGGTGTTGTTCGTCGGCCCTTTAACTTCAAGAGAATCCAATCCTACAGTCACCTCTATTGGACCTGTGTCCAGGGGTGTGTAACGCATGAAGAGCCATGCTGCTGTGTGGACGCAGAGCTACCTGTACAAACAAATCGACTTGATGTATAGTTTATTCAGTATTAACAGCGGGATTCTCAAGAACCAAAAAAAGAACCAAATCCGCGTGCCCCCCTCAAATTTTGCCGAATGGACCGGACATTTTTTTGGCCCCAAATTCCGCCGCTTTAACACCCCTAACTGTGTAGGCGGATACCGCCATGACTGGGCTTGGTGCCGTCATGTTCTCGAAGGTTCTAGGGCCAGCCAACCACGGCATTCCCGTGTCAGAGGACGAGGCCATGCAAAGCGTGACCTTCGATCAGGTCCACCGATGCTCAGGTATGGTCGGGTTAAGTGAACTCTCCGCGGAAAATGCGAGATTTTTTTCAGAAATGGTGCCCAGTGATGTGAAAAACAGAATATGATGGAAAGTTCATGTCCCGACCCCGACACCTCTGTCCACCGAGAACCGATGAAGGTCTACTACCGTACCTGCTGTCAGAGTCGTGCATAACATCGTCGATCACTCCGGCATAGCTCCAGCCAGGCACGTTTTGAGTAAATTCGCCTATATTTGAATGTGAACAAAAGGAACGATGGAATAACTTCTTTCGAGAGCTGCTCATTCCTTCATTTATGAGACTCAACCAAAGCGTATGCTGCAATAGAGGGAAGGAACAGGGGGACGTGCAGGCAACTATTCCTCGCGATGCATTGCTTGTGGAAGGAGTAGAGAATTTTAACGCACGCGCACCGGTACTGCTGTTGGGTTGAGGGTGTCGCATGTTGTAGCTTTAGACTGAAAATGTAGTGCGAGACAGACGGGCGGCGCAAGGTGCAATTACCCAACATCTCATGATGCCAAGCAACAGCGCCGGGGACGAAGAGTCATTGTCCTTGAAATGTTAACGCCGCTTCCCTGTGGTAATGACGCTTGAAATTTTTAATCCCCATGTACGACTTTACAGCGAGGATAGCTGCTGCTGATGTTCTGTTCGCCCCCCTGCTTGCTGTTTCCGGCGCAAATTCCAGGCCATCTACTGTCACCCTTGCTATGGTGCATCCATCTATCCAGCCCCTTGCCCGCTAAGCACCATTCCCCCCCCCGCTCACGGTATGGATTGGTATCGTTCGAAGGTGCTCGAGCAATACGTCCTCACGGATATCAAGACGAAGATGGGCAGTCCAGGCTACAGTTTGGCAACAGGAGCGACCCCGACCACGACGGTGTTGCCGTACCTTCCCCGTGTGCGAGGCTTTTTCCGAAAAGCTGTTTGCTGCGAAGGGCGGTGGCGGTGAAAAAACTTGGACGCCATCAGCGACATGTACGTTGCTTTTGTTTCGAAGTGTGAACCAAGCTCTGTGGGGCTGAGGGTTTTGTTGTCTTTGGCGTATTCTTCTAATCCTGTCTCCCCTGGTGTACTGTCGGCAATTTGTCAGCGCTCATTGGACGTTCAAGCTCTGGTGAACGTCCACCACCCTCGTTTGTTTTGTTCCTGACGCGTTTCCAGCGTTATTAATTATTTTCCCATATTTTCAGTGTGCCCTGGCGTTGCTCCTAGGCAGTCGACGCGCTGGTGGTTTGTCGCAAGCTATTATAGTTGTGTATGACCACGTGACGTCAAACAAACTGATACTCACATGGAACGCTCTTTGTTCTTTGTTTCGTGTCTCAGGTTCTAGGAGAGCTTCATGCGGTTCGGCTTGGAATACGTTGGGCCGATCCTCTCCACCGAGAGTGTTGATCGTCAGGACGACGCTAAGCGCTACCTCAAGCCGTGCTTGTTCGCGGACGAGGGGGCAGGAGGTGGAGGAGGTGACCCAGGGGCGGATGGGGATGGAGGGTCAACTTAAGATGCAGAGGGGGATGTTCTTCGTCTCGAAGCGAGAAAAGCGATGGTCCTGATGACCACGCTGGCTACAAAGCCTTGGCGGACATCTTAACCGTGTTGACAAGGTGTGTCATGTGTCTTGTCCTTTCCAATAATCGTGCTGCATCTCTTCCTGCCTAATTCGCTCTGCCTGCGATGATGTTGGATGCTTGCGTGTTTCTTGTCGTGCATCCGTTTTGCCCACGGCTCCCTATAATGTACACCCTTCCTCATCCCAGCGTGTCCGTTGGCGACCCTTGATGTTTGCATGTACCCCGCCTCCCTTCAATTTTGTCCTGTGGGGTTGCGTAGCTTATCCTCGTCTCTGACGTATTCTACGACCTGCGGTAATGCTGTCGGTTTGTGCCCCCC